ACACAGAGGTGAAAGGGAGAGAGAAGAGTTTGAGCGACCGTGCGATCCGCGCCTGTACCTCATTGTTTCACGAAGCGAGCTTTGTCGAGACCATCAGCGATGTTCCTCTCGGGAACTGTGACGTTGTACTGACAAATTCCGAGCTGATTGTGTTAAACTAGTCTAATCTTCTGGAGGTGAGCCATTATAAAGTAAGATCATATGTATATATAATACGTACCGTTGGTTTTTTAATTACTTAGTCGAGTTACATATTCTACTAGAGAATATCTTTTGATATTTTTCTCATATATTGTATGTAAAATGATATACGTGAGATAATTTTTTTCTTTTATCCAATCTTCTGTCTTAGTATCTCTCCAAAAAAGTTTTTAATTCTTGTGGTTGTAAGTAACCGAGTTTTGTAAAAATTGCATTTGCGAAACGCAGCTGATAAAATGAACTTATCAAATTTTGGCGAAAATATATAATTTTTTATATTTTATTCGTTGCGCGCGAATCGCGTTGAAATTTAATCGCTCGTTGAGACGCGCGAAGGTCGGTATCCGATTTGGAGCACAATCCACTGGAGCATGGAAGCTTTAGAGGGTCGCGCTACCGATTTTCGTGGCGGTGCTGATTTCAATTAGCATTATTATTAGGACCGCGTCGTCGACAAGGAACGTTGGGTGTTGTCGACGTCGTCGTCGTCGTCGTCGTCGTCGTCGTCCTTGTCGTCCTTCTCGTCCACACAGCCATCCGCAAGTTCATCTAAACGCGCAGGTCTCTTACGCACACACATACACGTACGCGCACAGGGACCACCCCGAGCGACTGACGCTTTGCTAGGGGTTGTTTGAAAGCGGTGAAATCAATGCCTCTGTTTGCACTGTTGAGGTCGAACCGAATTCCGTTCCTGCTTGCACCTATACATTTATACCCGTCGCACGTGCTGACGTGTACGCGCGCAGCTCACGCTCGTCTACCATCGGTCAAATAAAATAGACTAATATATGACTAATATATCGACGATATTGGTGTACGTACGCGATATTAATTATCACAATCACTTAGTGATTTTGCACTCGTTACGAGAGAGAGTTTGCAATGCCGACAACTAGAATATTTTTACATACTCAATTTTTCCATTTTTTTCACGAATAATAAAGAAGAGAACATTTGTTTTTTTGTTTGTTGGAATTAAGTACAATAGTTTTTTTCTTCTTTTTTTTTCTCTTCTTTCTCGTACATTCTTAGCCGCATCAGTGTGAAATACTTTGACAAATACGAATTGAATGAAAATTCGGTTAAGTCTGATTTTCTAGATTCTAGTAAAGTGACAAAAACGTAATTGATGCGTCGATTGAGAGAAACTAACGGGGCGCGAAAAAGCGAGCTCATAATCGTCGATCTCCCCTGGCGCGCGCATACATACGTTGTAACCGTAATACCTAGGACAATCGAGACGTTCCGCCGGTAGAAAACAGAGTGACACTGGCTGAACAAAGAAAGAGAGAAGCGCGGACGTGAAAGATAACGGCTCACGGCCGATCGATCGATCCACCAAGGCTTTTGTTCGTCTACGGTGCCTGCTATCCGATTTAACTACGAATACTCGGTGGAAAGAGACGTATCGAGGCGTTCCGAGGTAAGAAGTAGCTTTTATCTCCCGGTTGAAGTTGAAGTACACGGAATCCCGAAAATGTAGGGAGTAACATCTTAAGTGTGTATCTTATTTGTATTTATGCGCGTAATATAAGCAGATGGATACTTACAATGAGATCGTAAATATGTACATATATATTTATGAAACATTGTATTTATAAATTATTTACTCGAGCATTTTTTATAGAGAACTAAACAATATAAAAAAATATTCTAGAAAATTATAAAAAAATTGTACACTTTATGACTAAATAGAATATTAATAAAATGTTTATGTGCTGGGAAAAATACATCGTCTCGCGCGTTTGTCGAATCGAGCGTCAGTTGAATCGAAACGGTATCCGTGAAAAAAAATCAAAATCAATTCCGCACGATGATTATCCTCGTTTTGACGATGACAGTAGGGAGACAAAATGTATAGAGAAATACCACGCGCAGTGTAATGCGCGATTAAATGCTCGTATAAATACGCGTTTGTACGCGTGGGGAAACGCAGTAGTGAGTCTCGACGTATTCGCAGACACGAGCTGCGACAGCTATTGAACTATTACACGCTTAACTGGAACGGACTGACTGCAGTGGCGTGCCTTGCTGCTCTCGGTACGCGTGGCGTCACGACCTCAAGCGGGTAATCCCCATACGAATCCGAGAACACAGCGCGTACAACTCTGTTTAACCCGTCAATGTTCGCGCTATGAGCGCGCTGTGCTCAAACCGAACTTGTTTCTCTTCAATACAGCAATTGCGCGACAGTTATTAAATTTCTATTTTAATCAGATTTTAAATTTCTCCTCTTTCTCTCTCTCTCTCCCTCTCTCTCTCTCTCTTTAGCTTTTTATATAATATTTTGCATAAATAAATTATGTTAAACTTTATAAAAACAATTTTATATTTTATGAAATATATGTATAATGAACTTTATGATATAAAAATCCACTCTAGTATAAAAGAATAATTTAATATTTTATGTTGGTAAAAAAATTTCAAATTTGATTAAATGTCACGCTTCTTTTTTTCTTTTTTTTCCAGCTTGATATATCATCCGCCGAAAAACTAGATTCATACGTAATTCGAATAAAGAAAATTTGGTAATTCTGCGACACCCAGTATGTAATAGAGCAATCGCAACTAAATGGAAGTTAGTGGAGAGATGTTAGCACGTTATATATATATATATATATGTATATATGAGATATGACTACGCTAACAGCGCTCCACAAATATTCCAGAATAATTGCGGAGCGACAATTAAGAGATCTCCGTAAACACAATATAGAGCAGAGACTAATTAATAGCTAGATTAGAAACGATTAAGATAATTTCCATCACGATGTTTAAGCGGACAAAATAAATTTGTCAGACGTAGCCACTTAGTGAGAGTACAACGTTGCGAGATGCAACGAGTGCGGTATTTATCATTAATTAAGTACTTCTTACGTCGACTGCAGAGGAAAAGAGATCGGAAGGGGAAGAAACGTCTTCTGGAAAAAGTCTCTTTCGCAGGAAGCGTATAACGAAGTTACGCCACTGTCGATGCTCGAAACGCGAGGGGTGCGAGTGTCGCGCGGGGGTTGGTTATTTCACGGTCCACTCGCTCTACTCACACCCCTCAGAAGCGGCGGCGGCGGCGGCGGCGGTGGCGGCGGCGGTCCCTTTCCCAAATCCACCCCTAAGAATTAATTCGAGAGAATCGTCCGGCGACCGACCGACAGCCACTCCTACCTTTTCGAGAACCCTCGGATCATCCTCTCTCCTCATCCCCGACAGGATCTTTCTCTCGTCGCTCTCCTTTCGTATTCCCGTTCGCGTCGATTTAACTTTCTTCTGATTCCTGCTTCGGTAACATCGTCGTTGCAACGGTGGCTCTCGCGAAAGAGTCAAAAATAAGAGGAACGAAGGAATGAATAGATCTCTCAAAGTTTTTCTCCAAATTGTCTTTTTATTTTGATTTAGAATAAAATGTTTTTTTTTTGTGTTTATAAAGTACGATCAACAGTCTTTTGTACTAACCCCTTTGTCGACTTGATGTCAACAATGTTGAAGTTGTTAACTGTAGAGAAATATTTTCTAAATTTGCAATAAATAATGAACATCGTAAAAAAAAAAAAAATTAGTACTTACCTTCGAAGAAAGCTGATATTCTAAAAGAAATTCCGGTTTGTTTACCGGTCGATGTAATAGCAGGATTCGCGACGATTAAGCGAAACAGCAAAATCAGAAGCCGCTTTGTGTGTCCCGCTAACGCAAAGAAATAGTTCTACCTTCATAATTCATAATTAAGACATGCGCAAAAGCGCGTATGTAGCCAGAGCATTACCGACGACGCGTGTCGCGCGGCTTAGCCGAGTAGTTTCTAATTTGAGCATCAAAGCAGGGCGCGAGCAATTTTCCGTTAATTGAACGTGGCTGCTTTTGGAAGTTGCGAACAAGGCGACACTATGCGGTCGCTATTACGCGTGAAAGACTACGGTTTTGTGAAAGCTGCTTCTCTCAAAGAGCGCGAAACGCAGGTCTGCGCAATCCGACCGTTTAATGACTCACTTCACTTAGCGTGTTTTCTTGTACAGTCTCCTCGTTCGTGGTCCGCACTCCGTGCACTGGAACTTTCCCCCTTATTTTCCGCAAAAACGACAGGCGCTTTGTTTTCTCGTGCCCGAAATCGGACGGGTCGCGCTATCGAGAACGACAGACGAGCGATCGCCGCTCGTTAAGAACTGATAAAGAAAAATACGTAATCGGTGAGCCGAGAAGTAGAAAAGCAATTACGAGCGATTCCAAGATCCCCGAGATACGGGGCCAATTTGGCTTTCAGCGTCGTCCTAATTGAACTTATGACTTTTTTTTTCCATAAGAAAGCTACGAGAGCAAAGCATCGAAGAATTAAAAATAGTCGGGTAATAATAGATCGATTTTGATTCGATATATCTTAACATCTTTCGTGTGAGTTCAATTTTCGAGTTTACACAAATACGCGGACAGTCTCAAAATTTGTTGTGTTAACCGAATAAAAGTACTAAAAATTGATGAGAAATATACCATTGACGTGTTAGCAAAATTAAACTCACAAGTAATGACGTAATTGGTTGCAATGACGGTATTAGACAGCAGATTGTAGATTCTTCTGACTGTAAATTATTTCGCGATAAACGCTAATCACAAATACGATATTGTTATCGTGACGCAACGGTTTGAGCGCGGCAAACAAAATCGATCTTTATTCTTGTTGCACGTGCGGAGCGGGGATTAAATACGTATCTGTACACAACTGGATGGAGGTGTTTACGAGCGTAACGTATGATTTTTTATTTTACACATGGAACGATCACTACGTTCCGGGGCGTGTCTCGTTTCTCGCGATCGGCACGAAACATTGCTCACTAAATTGTTTTTTTTTCTCTCTCTCTCTCTCTCTCTCACACACACATACACACAATCGCATATCGGCCGCATTCTCACACGCATCCTCGCGCATCCACTCTTACACACATTCGCGCACCTTACTTGCTAAGAGCGTTTTCTGATAAAATCTACTTCCCTTTAGAGACGAGTTTTCCCCGTCGCTTAACCGCTGCGACGAACGAAATATGTTACAAAGGTGAGAAAACGACAAGGACTCGGGTGTTCGTGTTTACATTTAGTTTAGAGGAAAAGTACCGAGGTCTCGTTTTTGTCGAACAAAAAATTGATTCGTTCATTTTCGGTCAATGTTAACGTGGTGGTTTACGTTTCTGTTCGATCCCGGCGAGATGCAAAACTCGCAAATGAGGAGCGATGAGTGCAAATTAGGAGAAGTCGAAGTAATCAAAACTTTTTAATGAAGCTCCATCCTTCGCTCTATTATCGTTCCGCTTCTTTTTGTCGATTTATGTCTGTTCGAAAGGTGAGTGCGTTCATTTCTTGAGAAAGTGTCATTCTCGTCAACGTTGTTCGAAGATCGACGTTGCAAGGAAAATACGCGCGCGGAATTTAAAATGTTTGGCCGATGTCGTGCCGGAATGATACGCTCGTTTTTCGAACGTCACCCTACGTAAACCGATTATGCTATCGAGTCGTTCCACGTGCGCAACGGGAAGGCAAAATATAACGTTGCGTGGCTGCTTTACGCGTCCCTCTCCGATCCAACAAACGAAAACATTACACCCATCGTTCGAGATTCGATACTTAATTAGGTTTTCAATCTTGCTTTTTCTGAACATCGAACGAAAATCGCTACTCCAACGCTAAACCTCTTTTACACGTGTTTTAAAAATAACACGAGTCTCAGAATAAAAGTTGAAATAACAACGAATGCTTCTCTGTCTTCTGAATTATGAATATTCCTCTCACGACGGAGAATAAGATAAATGGACGTTTCTTATTTCTTATATCTATTACGGATTCACGTGTGCTCAAAACACGCATCTAGACACGTCTGTATAAATTATGGAGACTTATGTTATTTTTAAAATACTTTAAGAATATCTTTCTTTACTCATATAAAAAACAATGTTTACGAGAAAACAATCGTCAAGGAATGGCAAATGGTTGTGTCTACCAACACAAAAGTTCGGTGTGTAAGTTTCATCAGTTCACGAATCACAAACGCGCGCGAACTCCCATTCCTGGTACTTCTCTCTTGTCGCGATCGGAGCTACTCACACGAGCCCCGTTTCCTTGCCGAGGACTACGAAGGCGAAGATTCTGGCGCAGTGTATCATCGCCGAGTTCGCTACGCGTGCGGGTGCGTGTGCGGATGAGGGTGAGACGATAGGGCCAGGCCAGTGGTGGAAGGCGTCGAGGTCGGCGGCGGACCCGACGCAGTCGCAGCAGGAGTCGCTGACAGATGATGGCCGAAGAAGGTCGGTCCGGTCGGCGGGTAAGGTGGGGCTGCCGGGTGGTAGTATCCGGGTGGCGGTGGCGGCACCGGAGGCGGCGGGTGATGTACGTGAGCGTGAGGGTGCGGGTGCGTGTGCGAATGCGGCAACGGATGTTGATGAGGATGCGCGGCGAAGAGAAAGGCAGGTGCGTACGGCGACGGATGCGGCGGTGTCGTCGGCACCGTCGGACTGTTCACATCCAGTCCCGGATTCTGTTTCTTCCACTTGGTCCGCCGGTTTTGAAACCAGATTTTCACCTGGGTCTCAGTCAGCTGCAGCTCCAGCGCCAAGTTCAAACGTTCGCACACGGACAGATATCTCGTGGTCTTAAATTTGTTCTCCAGCCTGACTAGTTGCTCGTACGTAAAAGCCGTTCGCGCTCTTCTGGGTTTGCCGCTGGTGTTGCTGCTACTCCCGCTATTACCACCGCCACCGCTGGTGCCGTTCTGCCCGTTCTGACCTTGACCTTGACAATTCTGCACCTGAACACCGCTCGACGAGGTGGACGACGAGGACTGCCGTTTCTTGCAGTTCGTCGTGGTCGTATTGGTGCTGCTGCTGGTTGTATTTTCTCGCCCGCTACCGGAATCTTGATCCACCACCCGCATCTCAATTTCTTCGTCCTCCTCTTCCTCCTCGGGGTCCTCTTCCATTTCTTCCATGACGGTGTCCGGTGTACCTTCCTCATCCTCCTGGCCGCTGCCGCAGGCGAACTCGCCCCGCGAGTCGCTGTCTGAAAAATAATAACCACGAGATCACTTTTGTGTCGTATGATGGAAGGTAGCCACGAAGGGATAGAGACAGTGATACGGGGTCGGTATCGGATGACGAGGATTGATTATATGAGGGACGAAATTGCAGTGTGGATGTCGTGTTTCCCATCGTGCGAATTGATTCTGACCTTTATGTACGGATTGAAAAACGTATTTTATTTACTATGGAAAATACGCGGTTTAAATTTTTGAAATCTTTGTCTCTGAAATTTACAAATTATGCTAATACACGTTTTTAAAAATCAAAACCTTCTATTACTAATCTACACACACATATTTTGTTTATGAAATGACTTACTTATTCGAATTTAGTTAATGTATTCGATTGAGATGCTTCATCGCGGAGTTCTTTCGTCTCTTATGCGCATCGCGGAAAAAAAATCGAGTTGCACAGCGGCCGATCGAGCGACCGACTCACCGATCAAGCTCTTGCAAAACGGAACGATCCGGGCGCGAATCCGAGAGGAACAGAGAGAAGTAGATACGAAGAAAGAGAGAGAAAGAACGGCCAATCGTTCGCTCAATGAGAGAGGAGATTGGAGATTCAATCAGCACGCAGATGTCCCGGGGACAGATATTCCCTGGCTCTGGTCCGTGAGGGTTGGGGTGCCCCTGGGATGCCGCGAGTGGGGATAGCTTGCCGAATAAAACTAGAGAAACAGAGAGGAAGAGAGAAAAAGAGAAAAAGAGAAAGAGAGATAGAGAGAGGATAGGCGACGAGGACGGTATGTCGGCACTGAAGGCAGCAAGAGAAAGAGAGAGAGAGAGAGACAGAGAAAGAGAGCGTAAACAGAATAAAGAGAGAAAGTGAGAGGCAGATAGTGGGACTTTATCCGAATTGGCGTGGCTCGTGGCCCATAGCCTGCAGCCTAGCACACTGCCCGGGGGTTGGAAGTCCGTAGGGGGCGACGGATCGAGAAGGTTTACGCCGTAATGGGATTTGTATCTCGTTAACGCGCGATCGTTCTTGCCCCGCGTCGTACAGGCCGCCAAGCGGCTACCTTTCCCATCTCTCTGTTTCCCTCCCGCCTCTCTTTAGCCTTCTTCCGATTGCACACACCATTCTCGCGGGTCCCCGCATCAAGATATACCTGGCGGGCGCCGATTGATTGCGTCTAATTGAATTGCGTAATTTATATTATTTCTCCTTCTTCCTGCTTCGTCGCCACTCGTCCGCGCGCTCGATCGAGAATTGCGTTTTTGTTAGATAGCGATCCACAGTCTTTGATACAATCAGTACTCACAAAATTTTACACGTATATACGTGTGTGTAGTGTTTTTAGCTCATCTTTTTGATTTACCTTGAACCTTGAATTATAATTATAATTAACGTCCAAACAAAAGTGTATTCGAATTCTGTAAACACAGCAATTATCAGATTCTTGAAGTATAAATTGGAATATATTCTTCAAAAGTTATTATTATAAAACAAGAGATATATTTTTTTCTAAAAATGTGTTGAGAAAGAGATATATATCTGATATTTAATTCAAAAGAAAAGAAGATATGTATATATATATGTATATTTTTCGTTTTTTTTCATATCAAACATTGTCCCCAAAAGAAATGACACATTCTCGACAACGTAGATCCAGGAGAAGAATAATGGAAGTGTTTTCTCAAGAGAAGCATTATCTATTTTGTCGCCTGATACGACAGCTGCGACGACGTGGAATTAATTGAGTTTATTAGGAAATTAACGACGCCGCAATTCGCGTTCCCGTCATTGCGTTTTTATAACGATGAAATTGCCGGCGGGAGGATCATTCATATCGTTTAGATCTTCTTCATTAACCACGATCACAGTCGGGTTATGTGCGAGCGAAGCGATCGGGGATATATGCCGCGGTCCCTGAGGGACACGTTAAGGGTACACAAGGGGTAGCAGTCGATCGCAATGTGCTGCGACAAAGCAACAGACATGAGAATACTTATCTCATTTCGGTTTTCCTCATTAAACACAATGACAGTGTTTAATGACAAGTGGCAGGGTTGGAAAATACGCAATAAACAAAATCCCTAATCGTTTCTGATACGCTCATAGCGATGAATTGCGCGCGTTCGCGATTTATCTTTGTGAAGATAAATACACGAACAACATCCATCCGTCTTAATTGCAAATTCTCGCATACAACAAATTAGATAGCAAAATATATATAATAAAAATTTTCATATAAAATATTTATAATAAAAAGAAGATATTTATATTTTTTAAATAAGAAATTAAATTTAAACACAAATATAGTTTTTACATCATATTTTTTAAATGAAATTTAATTATTACGCAGTCTTTCATCTCAATAACGAATGTAACAGCTGCGAAGAGAGATATGCGAATCGAGAAACGATCTCTGAGACTCCGAAGCGTACATAAGATAATTATAAATTTCACCGAAATCTAGCGGAAGATCTCGTGGATCTCGAATCATGAACGCAACGCTCAGAGGGGTGACTTTCGTGGATGCTGCGACAACGAGCAAGGGAGCGGGAAGAAAGCGAGAACGTACGTAAGCGAGAAAGAGGAACAAAGAGAGAGAGAGAAAGAGAGAGAGAGAGAAGAGAGAGAGAGAGAGAGAAGTCATTGTGATGCAGAAGAGCCAATTTTCTGGGCGGCTTGGCGCGATGCGGTACGATACGGCGCGATGCCGCGCGATTATCATAACAACCGGCAATATTATTCCGTCGGTGAATTCGGATGGCGGGGGTGGCAAAGAGAGGATCTCGGTGCGGCGGCAGTCGAAAACGGATTGGCTCGGATCTGATGCACTTTTAATGGGAAGCGGCGACCATCCCGGTAAGATGGATGAGCCGACAATCGTGTAATCTCGATTTCGACGGCTGCGATCGATCCATCGCGAGCGGGAAACCACGCGCGTCCTTCTCTCACCCTCCATTATTTTTTGGTTTCTTCCTCGATCGGCGCGATAAAAACGTTCTTATAGCTTCATGCCAATGGAAGACGAAGACGGCCAGCGGTGGCTGGACTGGCCGCTGATTTCGCAAGCACCCGGTGTCCCGTACCGGGATAAAGGGACGACGATGACGGGGTTCAAGGACTGGTTAACGCAGATTAGCGGAGCAATTTGTCACGCTCCGACAGGCCGCCGCCGCCGCCGCCGTCGCTTCCCCCGCCTGTCTCTTCCACCGTCCGCTTCTGCCTCGCTTCACCCCTTCTTCGGGATGCTTCTTCTGTCCCTTATCGGTCCGCAGGACCACTTCTCTCGTCTGCTCGCCAGACTCCATTAAATTCGAAAGTCAACTGTGAAATTGGGATCTTCGCGACGTACGGTCACCGAACTCGTGCAATCCATCGCCGATAAATTTTCCACGGCGTTCCAAGGATACATTCAGTAGGGCGACAAAAATTGGTTTGTCATGTCAATGAAATTGAGATCGAATTAATTATGTATGCTGGTAACACGACGATGTAGTATCTCTTTAAATCTTTTCATAATATAAAATACTATCTTATCTTCGATAAAAGGATACGATAAATAAATTGTCACTTTTTCTTTGTTAGAGAATAAAATTGAATGATTAATTCTACGTGTGGTTCGCAACATCTATTTATTGAGAATAGATCAAACTTCTCTCGAAAATATTTTAAAAATTAGTTATTTTTTATTGTTATTGTCTATGTATTGTCTTTGAACTATGTTGTTTTCGTAGCTACGTTTTTTGTGTGTAAATTAGAACGTTCGCATCGCGAAATCCTGTTGTTCGTCCGAATGGTGTTAACGTTCATTATAATGTTTATTAGGAATGACATTAATGAGACGCTGGAAGAGTTTCTTTCTCACGTTCCATGTGAGACGTCGTCACTTTTGCTGGAATTCTTCGTGTATCGTCGTACACGCAAATAGACCGACAGCTCCCAAAATTGCACGATCGTCGGTGAAGAAGTCCTCCTTCTAGCGTCTAAAGTTAGAACGAGGAAGAAGCGACAGAAGACTAGCGAAGCGTCAAGAGGACTGAGAGACGCAGTTGGGCAAAAGCTCGAGCGTGAAAAAATATCGTTCGAAAAATCGTATACAGTTACGTTAAACAGTGCGGAAAATATCGAGGTTTTATTGATCACAAACCCACTGTGAGTGTATAATTCAATGTAACCGGAGATATGGTGACACTTAGCCAAAAAATGATAGCAGATTTTACGTAAAAAAAAGAACACATACACTGTAATCTCGAATTAAAATTAAAAACTTCATTCATATGTAATAATTACACCAAAAAAATTTTGACTTTTAAATAATTTTATCTACGTTTATATTTTTAATAATTATAGAAAAGAGACATTTGCAACAAAGATTGAATAAAATAAAAAATTATTATTTACAAGTGTCATATTTGTTCTAACATTTTTAGCAATATATATATATATAAAACAATAAGATTATGTGCACATTAATATACTTTATCTCGTAATAAATACGTGTGCTCAGAACAAATTCTTCAGTCAAAGTCAAAGGAATTAAGTTTAGCTTGAAAAGATGACTCCAAAGCCTACCAGCTGTTCTTCTCTCTTTCTCTCTTTCTCTTTCTGTTTCAACCAATTAAATCCTAACTGAAACGCGCCGCTTAAGATGTCACGCGTCCGGTTATTCTTAGTTCATTTGCCGAGGTAGCCGCGATGTGTTTCGGCCGTGCGACAGATATGTGTCAGATCTCCCTAATCGAGAACGTCAATTAAATCGTTCTCCGAGAGACCGCGGGCAAAGACAACATAAATACGAGGGAACTTGTTAATCACCTTCGTGCACACTGCCGGCCTGTCGATGTCGGCGCTGCTGAACACGATTGTGAACGACTCGGCCACCGGTAAACTTATTCGGGTCGAGGATATTCTCGACGGAGAACGCAAGGCACCGCTTGTTGTTCGTCTGCACCGTGCTGGTGGCGGTCGTGGTGATGCTACCTGTCGACGTGCCGGTGGTGGTGCGCGCCACGCCGCCGGAAGTGCACACTGTCATCACGGTCGAGCCGGTAGCGCTGTGTCCGGATATATACACTGGTGTCGCATGACCAACGGGCCCGTGGCCACCACTTTGCACACAGGTAAAAGAATGCACTCCACGATTGGTGAACGGATGAACAAACTGCTCCGAAGTGACGCCTCTCGACGAAGGTGCCGTGAGATCAACCGGACTACTAGGATTGCTCTCGTCGGCGTCTTCCCGACACACGTCTACCTCAACGTCACCGTCCTCGTGATAATTGCCGTTTCTGTGTCTTTCGGACCGACTCTCTTCTTCTTCCTCTTCTTCCTGCTCTTCGTCGTCCTCATCATCCACGACAACATTTTCTCTAGCTGATGCATTCCGTTCGTCTTCGATCTCGTCTTCTTCTTCCTCATCTTGCTCTTCTTCTTCCTCGTCATTTGGCCTTTTCTCCCTGCTTTGCGTATCTATATCGTGATACTGATCCTTCTCGACGGTGACGGATCGCAGGATCGGCGAGCTCGGCGGCGATTGTTGCTGTCGCATACTGTCGTACCTCGGGAACGGCTCACTGGTGCGTACGAGCAACACAGGTCTTCTCTCCTGCGGCGGTAGAGACAGACTCGCTCGCATGTCGGACTCTTCTCGCTGTAGGACGACCGGTCCTAGAGGCGACACGGTCCTGCCTTCCTGCATTCTCCACATTACCCGTTAGTGAGACACAACCCTTCTTTATCTGATCTCGCGTTCCTTCATCTTTACTCCAAAATGTTACAACGATCGCTTGCGATCTTGTAAACTTTCTCAATCTCGGAGAGTTCACTTTTATCAAACCGATCTGATCGGTCACAATCAATGCAAATCCATTATATGTCGCACTTTGTTAAACGTGTCACTAATTCTAACCCTATCAATGTGTGGACACTAGCGTGATATATCGCAACAACAAAACAATCAATGTAGCCAATTCCAATATGATGATGATCGCCCACTACCCGCGATTAGGATCGGATACCGATCTGCCAAGATCTCGGGACGAACGAAAATCGCGGATTTAGAACATTCTTCGCGGCATGGGCGCGCGATTAGCAATGTCTTTGGTTGCCCGACGCGGCGCGCGTACCGTGGCAGCTACTCTTGGGAGCCTCGCGTAGAGTCATGGTGGCAGAATTGGTGGTATATCGGCGTATTATTAGCGCTGTGGAGAGGAACCGTCGCGAGCGGAGGCGACCGTGGATCCGAGTGGAACAGCAAGAGCGGAGGGGGATCCGTTCCGCCTCGCTTGGGCGTGGTTAACCCCACCAGAGCCGTCTGAAAAGCTCTCGCAGGCCGCCAATAGGCGTGCCGGAACGGTTCTCGATCGGGGGTTGCGCGCACACACGTGCTTTTAACACGCTCGTAAACCGAGAACCGCACCACGAGACGACGCGTGCCTCTCTGTGTTGGTCACGCGCGCATCACTGCACACGCATACACGTATTCGGAGCGGTTAACTTACACGAACGTATCACAGTCTGAATGGACGAGGCACGAACACGCGAACGAGACGCGTGCAACGTCTCGCGGCAAGCTTTCGCCAGATACTCGGGTGTGTACACACAGGTACCGCCGCCACCCCCACTGTTCCCCGCATCACTCCGCCCTTGTCCGGTTCCCCGCGTCTCTCCGCCCTCTTTCCGCGATCGGACCGACTAAAGTGGTTTGTCTTTGATTTAACCACCACAACGACTAGGGGAAAGCGCAGCGTAGATGAAGGAATACACCTTTTCCTTCGAACTAACACGCGTCGCGTCGTCGCGACGTTATTCGCTGCTCTCAGAAAGAAAGAGAGAAAAGAAAGAAAGAAGGTATTTAGGTAGGTAGGTAAAACGTGTGGAGGAATTGCATGCTCGCCGCATGTATAACGCGATCGCGAAACGCTCGGTGGGTTTGACGATGATCGTCATGTCAGCGGTGGGGGCGGCGCATCGCGGCTACTTTATCGGTTGTGTGTAGCAATCTCCTGTGTGTATAGGACAGAGAGTATAATCGTGGTAGCTACACGAGTATCTCTCTCTTTCTCTCTCTCTCTTTCTCTCTCTTCCTCTCTCTCTCTCTCTCTCTCTCTTTCTTTCCATGCTGAACAGTGGAAGCGGTGATGGCACTGGTGGTGGCAGTGATGGTAGTAGTGGTGGTGATGGTGATGGTGCTGGCGATCAAATCAGAACCAACACAACTACCAAACGACCGGCCAACCGACCGACCGACGGACGGACAGACTGATGTGAGGAGAGCTGATGCTGCTGCCGCTCCGCTCTTAACTCGGCGCACGGATATTGTTTACCCGACCATTTAGGTAATTGCTGGCCTACCGCCCTGCCAGCCAATCGAACGTAACCGGTGGATGCGTCTGCAATACTGATCTCCCTCTCTCGCACCGTCAACAGCTCGCATCTCTCCATCACTCTCGTGAACCTCGTTTCTCTTCGATTCTCGATCTCTCTTTCTCTTTTCTATACCTTCTTCCCTCTTCCCGGTTGCTTTCCCCTCCGACTCCTCCGATCATCATCGAATTAGCTCGAGACCAATTGTTCGGTGAGACTAACGCCGCTATTGTCGCAGTGATCGATTCTTTCCAGGAAATTGGCGAGATTGGAAAGATACATACGCCAAAAGATTGCGGCGGTAGAGCATTTTGACAGTTTTAATGATTGCCGCGTATTGTTCGGTACTACATTTAAAGATAAACGACTAACTGATACAATGTGCTTGAGTTTCAAACATTTTTCACCGTATTTGGTTGTAACCATACGAAAGTACGATTAGGCTTAATTTTATTTAGAAGTTGTACTTTGTGTGTCTCTGCACTGAGACATAATATTTCATCATGCAAAATTATGATCACGACGATGATCGCGTCGCATGACAAATTGGATTAAACGTGGCTTGACTAATCCTCAATTGTACTACCTCATTATTTGGTTAGCGCTCGAGCGAAATAACGGCGTGGTAGGTGAGCCGCGCGAGAAGGTATCGCAGTATTATCGTGTTCCGCGAAAACTAATTATCGCGGGCGCCGTAGTTAATGCGATAATAGACCTTTTATTCATCAAGAATCCAACCATTTTGTTAGTCGCGTTTATATATAGCGCGGCTTGCTCGTCGCACATATGGGCGCACTATTTTCTTTTCATTCATGTAGGCATTAAAAAATTAATTTTACACAAATTAATTTTATATCAATTTTATTCTATTATCTTTTCTTCTCACACACGATATTTTAATACTTGAAATATTTCATTAAAAAAATTCTAACAAAATAAAGTGTAAAGAATTATTTATGCTTTTTATTATTCTTATGCAAAATAAGAGAGAAATTACCGATTATTTTATTAGAAAAGAAACGTACAGCTAAAAAGACACGGACAGTTTTGCATTTTCAGCTTTGAGAGAAGATACGCGTTTCTCATTCCACCTTGTCACATAAACAGACGAACGTAATAATTCACAGCCACCGTGTCTACAAAAATATCGCTTTCACAGTGCTGTTCTTAGAAACGTCTTTCTAAATTTGATGTCAATTATCCGTGGACAAATGAGCGCGAGTTTACGAGTCACGTTACTTGAGTTACTCAACGTCTTCTCTCAAACAAGTCGACAAATCTTTATCATTTTTTCTTTCTTCAAGTTGCAACAATTATTGTCAAAACAAAATATTTGTTATAATGGTTAATATTTCCGATATTGAAGAAATAAATATTTTTATTTTTATTATCAATGCGTGACATAAATAGTTAAAAATTGGCATCTTGAGATTCTGTGGACAATTACTGTAAGTAAATATTTTAACTATTAAAACAGAGAGAGAGAGAGAGAAAGAGAGATGAAGGAGGTAAAGTATTAATGTACTTGGTATGCTTCATGTACGATGGATCGAGGTCATTTGCGGTACATTCCGTATGTATGCGCTGTTTGCCACTCGATTTGTAGTACGCCAAAACTTAATTAATAATTTAGGCCGCTAATGAAACACAGACCGGTGCGCGCCATCCAGGTGCTCTAAACACGTCATTCATTGCGATAAACGTAACATGCAACAAAACCTTCGCGAATGATTATACGCATCGATTACACGCTCTTCAATGAAGATCACCGAGTGCGTCTCCATTGTTGATCGATCGTCGAACGTCAGGAAGCATTCCCCGTGCCATTATGGCGCAGGTGAGCTGTCGCGCCGGTGGATTACTCCACCTGCCAAAGTGATGTGGGTTTAGGCGGGGGTTGCCTAATAGTTCTGAAACGGTACGCGAGTCGGGAGGTTAGCTAGTTGGCGAGGTAGACGTAGTAGAGCACGACGGTGGCGCGCGGCGACGAGAGAGGGTTGATAGAGCGATCGAGTGGGCGGACGAGGGTGAGAAACGGAAGAGGGGCTCCGGCAAAGAGTGGGAGCGCAGGGAGATCGGACAGACCAGCCGTGACCAATTTGCGCCCGTTCGTGCTCCCGATTCTGATCCCGATTCTATCCGTCCGCCGCACATGGATAGACACGTATATATAGACGGGGGATGGTGTGGGTCTCTGGCGTGCACGCTGTTCGCGCACACATCGTCGCGCGCGCGAACCCCCTCGATCTTCCCTTCTCGATGTCCATGCACCCTTCCTCTCCCTTCATTCCGCCGTTCGACCCCCCCCGATCCGCGCGCGCATCGACACCCTCCTGCCAGGAGATATTCGTCACAGAAAGTTGCGTTGTGTTGCTCGGTGAGCAGGCCACCCCAAAAGTTTTACGCCTATCTGGTCCGGCGGCACCATCTATTCGCGCCACGATAATTGGCCAATTAAAACCGGGCGAGAGCGTTCGAGTTACCTGCCATCCGATAATTATACGGTGTCCTCGCGGCGGTTCGACCACGTATCCACGCGACCGGGCGTGGGTGGCAGTTACGAATAGCGGTGGAGAGCGAGGGTGGCAGGAAGGGGAGAGTCATGCGGAGATGGGAGCTGGATCGGAAACGGGAGGAAAGGTTTTCTCCGAAAGGCGGAGGATGGAATCGACTATTCCGATCACGTGGCTTCGGATTCTACGACTATGGTGGTCCTCCTGGTCTCTCTTTCTCTCGTCCTCCCTCTCTTCGCTATCCTCCTCCCCTCGCTCACCCTTCGTACGTCTCGCAGTCTCGCGGCTCTCTTCTCGCGCGTTCTCTCGCTTACCATCCTTCTCCGCGTAAATCAATGCGGACAGCACGCCCTTTCCTTAACCCCGTGACGCATGACTGGAATACTCCTTGGTACCGTGTTTAGTCCCGACAGGCGACGTTTACCAAGATACTCGGATCAACTTCAGTACCGACAATGACGGAAATTAGCGACTTGATGATCTCGTTTAATGCTACGAACTCTCTACTTTTAATTACGGATAAAATGCTTAATAAATTTGAAAACCTAGATTATGTGTTCTGTAACAAAAGCACACATACACACACACACATATCTAAATAATGAGATATAATAAGTAAATTCCTATTAAAGCTACGAGAATATTAAAATTTAGTATATAGATATATGTTACCGTATAGATATTTTAATTATTGCTAAGAGATCTTTTAAAATATAATTTTTTAATTTTAACTCAATATTGACGTTAGTGGAGAATCAAATTAGAAAAGACATACATATTTTTTCTATTTGTAAAACTGACTTTTAAAAGAAACAAAAAGTTAACTTTAAATTATCACGAAAATTGTTGCAATGGACATCTATAGGCACAAGGAAACAAGTTCCGGGGCCGTGATACATGTCTCATTAAGAAACTCCTCCTCTGATTTACTTCGCGACCGAATGATTGATCGTTTACCCCTAATTAGAGATCGGGGAGCTCTTGAAAAAGTAGACGAAATTACGCGTGACACGAGCGGAAATTAGGTTCATAGAGAACAGAATGATATATGGCCGTTATACTTCAGTAACGGTAGCGACGACGGTGTCGAGATAACTGTATCCAGTGACAGCTCTATTTCAGAAAATCTTAATGCCTCTATCTCGCGATAATAACGTTAATTACACCGGCAATTGGCATTGTCGCGCGCGTTATCGTTTTCC